CCCTGAAAGTACCTACCACTCGCTATAAGCTAGAGGGCTTCCATCTCAGCAAAATACCCTCTGAGAGCTCTGACAGCCTCACGGGAAAGAACCGTGCTGGGGGCTTTTGTGTGCAAGCTTCTGTCGGATAGTTTACTTTCTTCTATTATGTGGGACTGAGGATTGGACCTAGGGCCTTATGCATGCTAGGCAGAGGCTCCACCACTGAGCTATAGCCCCAACCCTGGTTTACTTTTTCTTTTCTTCTGTCTCTCACTCTCCCCTCCCCCCTCCAGCCTCAGGGGCAGAACCTACAGCGTCACATATGTGAGACAAGCACTTTAGGACTGAGAACCACCCTAGAACAAGTTTGAAGCCACACTAGTGAATAGTAAACTAAGACAACATTTTGAAAACGAGCTGAAAAGCAGGTGAGTTAACTCCCAACTCAAGCCTGAAGGGCATAACTATTAATCATATAGACCCCTCAAGGAGCTGATGGGGGATGATCAGGAGTTCTGTTTGGAATATTTGTTTGTTTTTTGAGACAGGGTCTCATGGCTGGCCTGAAAGTCACTGTACAGAGCAGGCTGGCCTTGAATTTGTGGCAATCCTTCAGCCTGTCTCCTTAGTGCCGGGACTGACAAGCAGGAACCAACACACCTTGCTGACCACTTGCCATTTTCCATGGCTTGCTCTTGTTAAATCCTAGCCATATTAGTACATACATGGAGGCATCTCATTGAGGATTTGATTTGTGTTTCCATGATGACTGATATCAGACTTCTTTTCAGATTCTGGTGGCCCTGTGTATGTGTTTGAAAGATGCCTATTCAAGTCCTCTGTCTAGTCTGAAACTTGTCTTTTTGCTGTTGAGAAGGATTATTCATATTTTCTGCATAGTAAGTCCTTATCAGATAAGTGACTGATAAATATTTCCCCATCATGTAGGTTGTCTTTTCATTTTCCTTAATGTCCTTTGATACATAAAAGTTTTTAATTTGATGCCAGTTACATGGTTCAGTGTATAAAGACACTTCCCATGTAAGCCTGGTGACCCAGGTTTGATCCACAGAACCTATGTAAATATGGAAACACACACACACACACACACACACACACACACACACACACACACAGTGCAGAATTAATGTGTTTACCACTATGCCTGGCTCTAGCTTGGATCTGAATTTGTGATCTTCCTACCTCAGCCTCCAAAATCCTAGGATTATAGCAAAGCATGGTGGTGTACACCTTTAATCCCAGAACTCAGGAGGCAGAGACAGAGGCAGTTATATTTCTATGAGTTCAAGGCCAGACTGATCTACATAATGAGTTGGAGGCCAGCCAAGGCTACATAATAAGAGATCCTCTCTCAAAACCGAACAAACCAAACCAACCAAAAAACAAAACCAACAAGAAACCCACACTAGCACCAAAAGTCCTGGGATTATAGCTTTTCACCATACCTAGTTCTTGTGGTCATTAAGTCATCTGTGTTTAAAGACACCTCAATTACTGGACGCTAAAACAACTGCCCCTTGGTATTACCGCTTAACAGATGGCTCCCTTAGTTTACAGGAACGACAGTGCCCGAGAGACTTTCATACACGTCTGCTTCGGTCCACACAGGATTGTGATTACCTGCTTAGGAATGAGTAACATTTGTCTTAAACAAAGGGGGGAGATGCCAGTGCTGAAGTTTATCTGAGCCCTGCTTACCCTAGAAAGCTGAGATGGCTAAGAAGTTTTTCCCACCTCTGGTTTTCCAAGAAACGATGAAGCACAGGGTTCACCCTCCCTTGGCACATTATTCCAGGCGCAAATCCATCTCCACCCTCCCTTATAAGACTTACAGATGACTCACTTGTTTGTCTGCCACTGGAACAACGCAGGCCCCCTGCCTGTTCTTTGAGATGGCTCTCATTCCCGAATGTCCTCCCCATTGCAAGAGCTGAATAACTAGCTGCCTTAGATGCCCACTGCATTTTGTCTTCCCCATCACCGACACGCATGTCCAGGAGAGACCAGGTTCAACATACATATTTCTGAACACTTTGGGGAATTGGTATGCAGTTCTGTGATCAGGCAATTGCTTAAAAAATAACCCCCCCTCCCAAAAAAAGACAGAGCCCCACAGAGTCAGTCTTTAACAAAAAAGCATTGGTATGCAGTTCTGTGATCAGGCAATTGCTTAAAAAATACCCCCCCCTCCCAAAAAAAGACAGAGCCCCACAGAGTCAGTCTTTAACAAAAAAGCATAACGCTCAGTCAACTGCATTTACTGCTTTTTATGCCCATTCAAGGTCAGGGACAGCCAGGTATGGTGGCTCAAGCTTTTAACCCCAGCACTCGGGAGGCAGAGGCAGGTGGATCTGTGAGTTCAAGACCAGCCTGATCTACAGAGTGAAATCTAGCACAGGGCTACATAGAGAGACTGTGCCTCAACAAACAAACAAACAAACAAATAAAAATGTCAGGGATACTTGTGTCCTGACGTGAAGACTTTGAGGTAAAACATCAGGTGGCCATCTCACTCTAGCAAAAGCTAACACTGTTCTATCACTAAAAAGATTTTACAAAAACATTTTATAAAATGTTTGCTGCTGATATTTATTGATGGACATTTAGAGTATTCCCAGTCTATCCCTTTTACAAGTATTCTGCAGCAGAGAATCTTGAATATGCCATTTTGAATATGTACAAATATGTATGAAAGACTATTATTAGATAAGTAATCCCTGAATCAAAGATTTTACTTGTAATTTAATTAAAATTGCCAAAATTGCCTTGCATGCAGTCTATAATTGTGAATACCGTGTTAGCAAACTTTTATGCATGTAATAATGTAAAAATGGGAAAATGGGGAAAAGTTAGCATTATAGACTTTTAATGATATTTTCTCATTTGGACCTTTCTAAAAAGACTTAATCATATGTCTGTTTTCTCTTTTAGTGTTAACAAACAGCTTAACATTCTTTGCTTCCATTATAGCTGTTTTGGAACCAGCTGAAAATAGAGTTTGGTTCTGTAGGTATACAACAAAAATATCAGCCAATATTTATTGGGTGTTAGCCTGTGCCAAGAACTGTACCAAATGCTTTCAGCGGTGTTGACTCAGTCAATTCTCACAACAGTCGTGTGAGGTAGGTACTATTACTATCTCTTTCACAAATGAAGGAAGTAAAGTACAGAGAAGTTAAGTAACTTGTCCAAGGTCACACAGCTAGGAAGTAGCTCAGCTCAAACTGGAATTGCGTAAAAGCACTGTATGAAGATGTTATTGACATATAAAGAGTTGTACTATATATGTTTTATTGCATACAATTGGTGAGTTTGAAAATAAGCATACATTTGGAAAATAATTAGATTTTTCATCTAATTGTTCATGCCATAAGTCTCTACAATTTCCCATCTTCGTCTTTATTATTTATGATAAGAACACGTAGCAAACTTTCCAAGTATACAGTAGGGTGGTGTTAGCTATAGGTGTTTTGTGGGACACTAAATTTCTAAATGTCCCTCAGTGGATAAATGTTTAAAGGCAATGCAGTATACATATAAGAACAGAGTGTTATTCAGGCTTTAATAATGGAAATCCTGCCATTTGCAGCAATATGGATGAACTTGTAGGACATTATACTTAGTAAAATAAAGCAGATATTCAAGAACAACGACTATCTGATACCATTTCTATCAGGAAAAGTATATGGCCAAAGTCTTAGCAGCGGAGCGGAGTGGTGGCTGGCAGGGCTAGTAGGAGAGGCAATGCGGAAATGCTTGACTTCGCCTCTCTCTCAGTTGTCTGGCTCTTTGGCCTACATGTGTAGTCATCACGGTAAATAGTTTTGGTATCTTTCTATCTCGGCTCTTACTCATTTCCTTCCATGTGATTCTTACACTTTTCCTTCTGCTCCCCTTTCACCATTTCAGTCTTGTTAATGTAGGTCAAGTTCATCTATTTCCTATGGTTTTACAAGATTTGGATTGTCTTTTCCATGAACACTTGGCTATTTTCTTGTGTTTGTCTCTGTCCCCTTGCCCGTTTTCTACATGTTTGGACTTAGAGCTTTTTGACTCCTGATCTTTTAGCAGCAACTTATATCTCAAGGTTTCTGTTCCTCCCACCAAGGTTTAATCACTTTAGCTTTCAGTAAGGTTACTTGGATTTGAGATTAATGAGTTGAAATTCTCCCTAAAGGCAGGTAAATGACCCAGGGCCAGATTTTCATAAGCTTCCATGTGATCTTTGCTTCTATAAACCAAATTGAGCCACTGAGCTAGAATCCTCATATTTAGAATTTATACAGGAATATGTGTGACAAATGGTGAGGTCAAGAAGGTCCTACTTGTGAATACAAACAAATTCATTAACTGTATGAGAAAACTACTGAAAATGTGACCCACGAAGCAAAATAAATGTGACAGCAGTATAATTCTCTGCAGTTTCCCGCTTCCTGTACCATTTGATATGATAGGCAGTTACTACTGAAGATAAATGAAGGCTTGAGAGAGCAGAGAGGAGGTAATATTTGCCCGAAATGTATCAAGAAAACTGACTCTGAATCCATTATAGTGAGAAGTATCAGAAGGTCCTTTTCAGAATTGGGCCACATTTCCCTTTGGATAATTATACCATACACTACAAATGGGTGAAAAAGTGTGAACAGTTCTAGTTCCTACCCAGGAGCTTAGATAGTTCATAAACATAAGAGTCACAGTGGTGAGTGGGCCCATGAAAACTGCTCGAAGATTAATTGGGCTAGGGAATGAATTGAGTAGACAGGTCATCATGAACTAAATTCACTAGTTGTTTTCCTTGGACACAGAAGGTCTTCTTTTTCTGGCTCTAAGCTTCTTTTGGACATTTTCCTCAGATGGCAAATAGAATTTTCCTGCTCTGAAACATGTTTTTATTCATAAAATGTAGACTAGCAGATCCAAAGTCTTTACTTGGCTGATGAATTTTTCTTTTATGCACTTTTTTTTTTTAAGAAAAAGCAGCAAAGAAGAACCCTCACAGGTTCCAAAGCCATTTCCTAGGATGTACCTCAAATTTTTCCAGGTTCAGTCAACAATGTCTACCTCTAATGTTCTTGGTTCAGTGGGGTCCAGGAGGCTGAGAGAAGCAGCAAGATTGTCAGACCCACTTTCCTGCGCTTACCAAAGCAGAAATGTATAGGTCCTCATATTTGTGAGGTGAGTACCAACTGGAGCTCTCTCTCCAGCTCTCAATTTTTATTTTACCTCATTATTTTAATGACATTTACATTTTATTACATTTACTTATTTGCTGGGGGGAGGGGCCATGTGTGGAGGTCACAGGCCAATTTGTGGGAGTCAGTTCTCTCGTGTGTGGGTCCCAGGGATTGAACTCAGGTAGTCAGGCTTCACAGCAAGTGCCTTAACTCACTAGCCATCAATTTTTATTTTAAATTCATTTAGTGAACCCCAAAACTCAGTGGCTTAGCTACGAACACTGGACGGAGGAATTAAACAACAGTTTGAGTGTAATTGATGGAAAGTGTGCCTGTTAACCTTTCTAGCTCGAGAAAACACAAACGCCCCACCACCAGCACAGCAGCTGTCTCAGGCGCGATGCATATGCATTTGTATTGCTGCACCTGGGCCTGGCAGACAAGATGGCTGTCTCAAGAGCCAAAGACTTTCTGTGCTCGCATCCCCAACCTACGTAAGAGACCCAATTAAATTGACTGGAGTTTATATTAGGTGTGGAGAGGAGGAAATGCCATTGTGTTCCCTGAACTGATCACAACCTCTGCCAAGTCAAGGGGGAAAGTAAAGCGCTTGCTTTAAAAATGCAGTGAAGGCTTTCAGACTTTCTGGCTTCGGGTGATGCAAATTTAGGGTAATTTCTGACATACAAGAAAAACATATGGATGCTCCTCAAATATCCTTTTGCTCACAGGACTATTCTCTTCCTCAAAGTTTGGCCACGGATCACTAAAGTTGTTCAAAACTTGGATTAAAAATATGTAGGGTCTTGTTATAGCTACATTGACTATAATACTAGCTAGATGGAACACAGGTTGAACATCCCTTATCCAAAATGCTTGGACCAGAAGTAGTGCAGATTTAAGAGTTTTTCAGATTTGAGGATATTTTAAAGACTACCAGTTAAGTATCCCTAATCCTAAAGTCTCAAATCCAAAAATGCTCTGAACCCTGCAACTTTCTTTTTTTTTGTGATACTGGGTATTGACTCTGCTCTTTGCACATGCTAGGTAAACACACCACCCCTGAATATATATTTCCCAAGCCCAACCTAAAACTTATGAATGCTCTTTCTATAAGTTTTCTGAAAATAAGTAGCTAAATTTCAGAAGAATATTCATAATATTGTACCTAAATTCTACTTACCATCTTTCATATACAGATAATGACTTCCTAACAAAAATGGTAATTAGTTCAATTTTAACAGTTAAGGAATTTTCCTGAGTAACCTCATATTTAAAGAAAGGCATCGTGCTAACAAGACAGAAAGTCAAGGGTTTGGCCTGGTACTCAAAGGGCTGATGGAACAAGGCTTGGAATCTTTTTGGCTACTCCTAGAGAATAGACTACTAGCCCTCAGCAGTACTATGGCTCTGTCATGATGTCTCAGTCTCAGGCACTTGGCCTAAGAGGGGGTAGTGTATGCAGTCAAACCCAGGTAGGTGCTGAGGAGTTGTTCCATGTTCTGGGGTTGTAGACAACACACAATGTCCTGGATATTGCCCTTGAAGTGTTTTCAATTGAGTTGAATTGAGCTGAAAGACAATATGTATCTACATACATACATATATAGTTAATAAGTGTTCAACTATATGGAATAGACGACGCTTTCTCAGCCTCCCAGCATCCGGCCCTAAACCGGGAACTCCCTTCTAAGTGTCTCTGTGGACTTGTGGTCTCATGTATTCTCATTAGCTCCAACTGAAGCAAGGGAGGAAAAGGCTATTCCTCTTCTACAACTGAAAAACAAGATGATTTATGCCCCTAGGTACTTAAAGAATTGGCCTAAGGTTGCAAAGCCTTGAGCAGTCCTATACTCTTTCCCTGTGTTCTCTGCTCACACAGTTTACACTGCCTGTTCAAACTTGTTAAGCACGAGTCTGACGATGTGACTGCCCTGCTTAAAAGCCCCTTGGTGGGTCCTATAGTCCAAGGCCTCTGATCTCACTATTCCAAACGTTGGCCACATTGCACTTTTCTTTATCTTAAATACAACAGCATGCCTGAGCCTCTGTACATACATAGTCTTAGACCTGAGGAACACTTTTTATATTTCCTCAGAACCCTCTCTTCATCCTTGAAGACCTGGTTGTTTAACATCCCAGAAGTTCTACATTCTTTCTCCAGGTAGAAGAAATGTATTTCCCCCACTTTGTGTACATGGTCCAAGAATTTATTGGACCATCTTCCATAGTACTTCTCAAACCTGATTATGAGAATTACTTCCTGTACCCATGTCCCCTACTAGACCACACACTGTCTGGAAGAAGGACTGTATCTACTTTCCTTACCTAGAACAGTACATGGGCACTTGGTAGAGTCTGAGTGAGTCTGGTAGAGTCTGAACCAACAAATGGTTCTTACTTTCAAAGAATTGAACAGAATCAAATTTTTTAGAAAAAAGTATTTTTAGTGTTTTCTTTGAATAAAGGAGAAAAAAAAGCCTCCAACTGTATAAATGTGATCAACCAGGAAAATGCTGGAACAGATCATTAAGAAATGGACTGGTTATACCCAAATTAGGAAATTTGAAGGGGCTGTGACTCACTGTACAAATGTCCACCCACTACAACAAATAAACAGAGAAACAAGCATAGATTTTGTAGAAGCTAGCCCTGGGTCATGAGAGCCATGGCATAAGGCCTTAAAATAAAAAATGTGGGAAGAATAGGATATGTTTAATTAAATAGGACTAAAAATAACTTAGTATAGCTGTGTTGTTTGGTAGACACACTTAAAATTAAAATGACTTGAAGTTACCTGGGAAACAGGTGGATGTTACTCTGGTGAAACTTAATGCTGGAACCCAAAAGGTAATTCATAAATGTGAAACCACTCAGGTGGGTGGGTACTATGCTGGAAAGCCATATTGGAAGGGCTTCCTTGTCCTGCAGCACAGCATGAACTCCTGAATACCTGAACACAACAGCTTATTGTGCAGTACCAAGTTAGATGGATGAAATCATCCGCTGCTTTAACTTAGCACTGATGCTTGGAACCCCTGGACAGGCTTTCAACTCAGAAATTACTACTTCCTGGTACATTAGCGTCTGCACTGACAGGCATTGTGTAAGAGGCTACTGCTATCAGTCATATCGTCTTCCTGTGTTGATGATGAAGATACAAAAAAGTAGCACAAAGTCAGGTGTGGTAGTACACACCTATGCTTCCAGCACTAAGGAAGCTGATGCAGGAGGAACTTGAGTTCTAGGTCAACCACAGCTACAGAGCAAGGTCAAGGCTAGCCTAAACCACAGAGCAAGTGGCTCCCTCAAAACAAACAAAAACAAAAACCACATCCCCCCGGGCTGGATAGATGGCTCTGATTCCTAGCACCCATGCTGGGTGGCTCACAACCATCTATAATTCCACCTCCCAAGATCTGCCATCTCTGGCCTCGGGGCAACTGCACTCATGTGCACATACACATGCATACACATAATTAAAAACAAAAACAAATCTTTAAAAACACCCAGTAAATGAATATAAAAATATTTCAGAAGAAAATTTATGTGGAATTGAAACACAGAAAACAAAACAAACGAGGGTGTAGTGATATGTTGTGTACCCTAATAAACTTGCCTGAGGATCAGAGGACAGAGCCAGCTACTAGATTAGACATAGAGGCCAGGCAGTGATGGCACACACCCTTAATCTTATCACTCGGGAGGAAGAGATCCGTCTGGATCTCTGTGAGTTCAAGCCACACTGGGCTACATGAGACTGAACCTGTATAGGAGAGAAATAGAGCCAGACAGTGGTGGCACACACCTGTAATCCCAGCACTTGAGATCCCATGCCTTTGCTTGGGAAGCACACATGCCTTTAATCCCAGGAAGTAATATGGCAGGGCAGAGAAAGGTATATAAGGCGTGAGGAAACAGGAACTCACTCTCTTTAGGCTGAGGATTTCGTAGAGGTAAGAACTAGTGGCTGGTTGCTCTGCTTCTCTGATCTTTCAGCTTTCACCCTGATACCTGGCTCTAGTTTTTTTTTTTTTTTTTATTAAAAGACCATCTAAGATTCAAACAACACTAGGGGCCAGCATATGGCTCCAGGCTCAGTTAGTAAAGCATTTGCTGTGTAAGCAGGAGCACTTAAGTTTGAATCCTCAGGACCCACGTAAATAGCTGGTGTAACTGTACTCCCAGCACTGGATAGGCAGTGCTTGCTAGGCAGTCTAGCCAATCAGTGAGCTCCAGGTGCAGTGAGAGACCCCTCAAACAATAAGGTCGCAGAGAGCAATTAAAGAAAATACCTAACATTGCTTTCTGGCCTCCACACACGGTAGCATATTTGTGCACATACACAAACACATATACACACAAAACAGAAAAGCAAACAGCAGTGCTGTAGTTAAAATAGGACAGGTGAGAAGTCAGTGGACATTTGGGAGTCCAGAATCCAATTTAGTCAGTCATTCCTTACTTTCTACAACTGCTTTGGAGGCACCTTCAAGGAAAGCCTATAGCAGGTGCTGTGGGAAAGGTTTTGATACATGGAACAGAGGCTTATATTATTTACAAACTGTATGGCCATTAGCTCAGGCCTACCACTGACTAGCTCTTACACTTAAACTCAGCCTATTTCTGTTAATCTATATGTTGTCACGTGTTCCGTGGCTTTACCTGTGTGCCGTTACATGCTGCTTCCTGGACAGCAGGCTGGTGTCTCCTGACTCAGCCTTCCAGCCTTCCCACAATTCTCCTTGTCTGCTTATCCTGCCAATACTTCCTGCCTGACTACTGGCCAGTCAGCATTTTATTTATCAACCAATCAGAGCAACACATTGATAGCATACAGAGCGAGACCCACAGCAATTAATTATAGTCAATGCGCTATGCATTAGGTCTCAGAACTTACTCATCTTGTAGAAACTGCAGCTTCTTGTCCCTTACCCAACACCTCCCTAAGCCCTTGGCAACCACATTCTACTTCCCGTTTCTGCCTGGTTGACTTAGATT